AGAAGAAAGAGGAGGAGGAGGAGGAGGAGGAGGAGAAGAAGAAGGAGGAGGAGGAGGAGAAACTAAGCAAGTTAGTAAGTATATTCAGTGTTTTACTTTTAGGCCATTGGCACACATCATATCAGAGGAGGAGGAGGACGAGGACGAGGAGGAGGACGAGGACGAGGACGAGGAGGAGGAAGAGGAGGAGATAGGCAGAAGGGAAAAGGAGTGAAAATTGTCAACACACCGGGGTCCTTGTGTACAAAAGATTGTTGACATAAAGAAGGTTGGTCCACCAATATTTCTCACAGTTTTCCTGCGAAAGAAACAAAACAGAACAAACAAACCAAGATCAACAGTTAAGAATGGAAAGGGCACATATTGTAGAAACAATAATAACAATAACAAAAACCAAAAAAACAAACAACTACTCCCCCCCCCATTAACCACCACATTAACACAAACATCGTCAACAGCCAATATTTCACACTGCGATTACATACATTAACTGATCAGATATTAAGTTATCTGTAGTATTTCTCAACATATTAGATTTGTATTAACTATAACATTCATTATGCTGATCATTGCACATTTTTAATCTAGTATACTGATTACTCTAGCTCCAGGAATATTATGCAGAAAATCAGCTTCTAACTGTTGTAAAAAAAACCACACGAAAAAACCCCGAACAAACAAAACAAAAATAATAACCAGTAGATCTATAACGCAAATCCCCGCTCAACAGCAAGCTGTATGCACTTCACTAGCTATACTATTACCCCAGCAGACCTGAGAGCATTCTGAAACAAACTCAACCTCCTGTGCAGCATACAGTGCAAGTGGTCATTTATAGGCGCTAAAACACTAACATACTGACAAGATCACGTCTTGTAATGTTTCTTCCCGAAATGTTTCTTCTAATTATATTTCCTTCTCGTTGTCGCTTTTCCTCACCGCATCTGCAGGCAGGATATTGGACCAATTCACGCCGGAGCCGAAGAACTTGAGAAATCCCATGAAGAAGACGAGGCTCAGCATGTAGGGGGGTGTCAGCCTGACAGGAGAAACACATAGAGAACCCATTTGTTTGGGAGAGGTTAGAGGTTAAATGTGAGAGGTCTTAAGGTCACGGGCGAGGGTGAAGGTTGGTATAATGAAAGGATTATACACAGACACCAAAAACAAACAAGAAAGAAAGAAATTTTCTGAGAAGAATTTTTAAAAAACATATTTTACTAAACAAAGCAGACAAAAATGACAACAATCCCTAACCTGGAATAAAAAAAACGCTAATAAATTTAAATATGTAGGTACGTAGACTACAAAAACAAAACAATGACAAACAGAAAAGGAGCTCCACAAAAGGAAAAACAAAATTTAAAAAAAAACTCGGAGAAAAAAAAATCAAAGCAGAACTATCCGAAAGCAAAGTAAAAACAAGAAAACGGTGGAAAAACAAAGAAAACAAATAAGAAAAAAAGACAAAACAAGAATGCAGAGAAATATAACTGGCACAAACAGGTACACATGCTCTGTCCAACGACAAAACAACTATCACAAATAACTGCTAAAACCCATCCCCACCTGCACCCCCTCGTCTCTCTCTGTCTCTCTGTCTCTCTCTGTCTTCCTCTCTCTGCCTCTGTCTCTCTGTCTCTCTCTCTCTCTTTCTCTCTCTCTCTCTCT